TAAGAAGTTTTACTTCACTCTTTTTTTAATACTTAGTTTTTTATGCTACTGATATTATTCAAAATAACTTTACATAATGGTTCTTTCGTCATTTATAACCGAGATACAGGTAGTTTTATTAACTTTGCTAATTTCTTTCTTGTTTCATAACTTACCAACCACCCTTACATGTTATTAAAATTTGGCACATGTATTCTCTACAACTTACCATAATCTATTAAGGTATTAATAAGAAACAAAATGCAGTTCCATCTTTTCAAAAAATTTAAAAATTTGTCTATCCTTATAAGAATACACTACAAGTCGTTAAATTTGTATCCATATTTGGAAAAAGCACAAAAAAATAATTATATGCTATTAATTTTTACTAGATGATTTTATTACTAAAATTAACTGTTTTTATATTATTTTTAAACTAAGCACATTTTTAAAAGTTACATGTCATGCGTGTACACTACAATAAAATGTACTTACAAGTCCATATTTATGACCAAATATAATCATTACTTTTTAATTAATTTAGGCAAAATTGATTTAAAGCATTACTTTTGGTACTGATAGGCACAGATATATAAAAGTACCAACATTATATATGACTTTTAAAAATTCAGATGGAATTAAATTATCCTCATTATAACGTATTGAAGTTACTTAAAAACCCCTTTAGTTTCATTTTTTATCTCCAAATTGCTCAAAAATAACAATTTAAACGTTATATTTTAGCTGTAAAATCATTGTACAAAAACATGACTAATTTTAGTTTTTTCTGGTCTCTTTAAATATGGAAACGAACTTAACTAATTTAGAAGTGTAATTTTTTGTTTAACTCAAAAGTAACAATTTGAAGTTAAAAATGTTTGTAGTAAAATACATTCACAGACCTAAAATTTGATCCATTCAAAATAATGATTTATATAAAAATGATCTAACTTTCAAATGCGGAGGCTTATTTATTTGAAGTTTTTAGCAACTTTTAGATAAAATACTTAGTTTTTAGATTATTATTCGGACATCTAAAAGTAATTTAGAGAACAATTTTTTCCTCTACTTTTGACAAACCCTGTAGGTTAATTCTGCTAGTAGATCTGCATACAATTAACTTTATCAAGAAGACTGATTTGTTACCAACACTTTATTTTTTTATTTACCCCGATATCTTAATTTTTTGTGAAATGTGACGGTTTAAAGAAAATGCTACATTTTAGAAACGGTCATAATTTAAATGACGGTGGAGAATAAACTACAAAATAAGTAGAGTGCTGTGGCCAACTCACAATATGACAACTGTCAAATATTCGTTACTTGGTAATTGCAGTTTCATTATTATTCATTATCAGCATAATATCATGGTTTTAACGCTTACTGATGCAACATGAGCAGTTGCTCTGGTACAAGACGGTAGGACTCAGTATTATACTTCTAGAATAGTGGGTGTTACAAGGTGTAGCGTCCAGAGAGCTGTACAAGGTTTTAATGAAACTGGTAGTTTTTCGAGACGAAGAGGATCTGGCAGACGACGTTCTACAAATGTTCGAGATGATCGTTTTGTAACATTAAATGTTTTGCGAAAAATAAATACTACTTCTGTCATGGTTCGAAATCGTTTAGAAGAAGTACGTCAAGTAGCTGTTAATGAAATAACGATTTGAAGGCGATTACGAGATCATGGATTACGCTCCAGAAGACCTGCAACTGGTCCGGAGTTACTTAGGAATCACAGAACAGCACGTCTTCGATTTGCCAGGGAGCATCAACATTGGAATATCGATGAATGGAGTAAGATTTAATTTTCTGACGAGTCAAGGTTTTGTTTACGTTCTCCTGATGGCCGTGAAAGAATATACCGAAGAAGAGGCCAAAGGTTTGACCAAGCAAATTTTTCCACAAGACTCAGTTATGAAGGAGGATCGGTAATGGTTTGGGGCGGCATAAGCATGGAAGCTCGTACTGATTTAGTCATTGTTGGCGGCGGAACAATGACAGCTTTCCGATATATTCGTGATGTGCTAGATCCATATGTAATTCCATTTGCACCATTTATAGGAAACGAATTCATGTTTATGCATCACAACGCTCGACCACATATTGCGAGGATTGTATCTCAATATTTAGACGAAACAGAAATTCAGAGGATGAACTGGCCATCACGTAGCCCAGACCTCAATCCAATTGAGCACGTCTGGGACATGATGTACAGACGAGTTCATAACCGAGTTCCTTCTCCAAGTATTTTAAATTTTTTAAAAGATGCTTTGGTCCAAGAATGGGATCAGATTGACCAGATGAAGATTCGATATCTAATAGAGGGTATGCCATGACGCATTGAGGCAGTTATTCGCGTTTGTGGGGAAAATACTCGTTATTAATTTGTAATAATTATTAGTGTATTTGTTGTTTGAGTTATTTATAAAATTATGTATTACTCTGCTAAAACTGAATAAAAAAATTAAGATTGTTGCATTTTCTTTAAACCGTCACATTTCACAAACAAATTAAGATATCGGGGTAAATAAAAAAACAAAATGTTGTAAACAAATCAGTCTTCTTGATAAAGTTAATTGTGTGCAGATCTGCTAGCAGAATTAACCTACACGGTGTGTCAAAAGTAGAGGAAAAAATTGTTTTCTTTTTCCCCCTGTATATCCGGCGAGTACTAAATTACTTTTACATGTGCGAATAATAATGTTAAAACTACAGTATTTTATCTAAAATTTGCTAAAAACTTCAAATAAATCAGCCTCCGCATTTGAAAGTTAGAGCATTTTTAAATAAATCTTTATTTTGAATGGATCGAATTTTAAATCGGTGAGTGTAGTCTATGCGCAAAAATAATAAAGACCGCTGGATTTATGTTTTGGGTACTTCTCAGGTAATGTTAGGTTAGGTTTGCAAACTGGTCGTGTTAATGCACTTGAAACTGGAGAATCAACCATATAAGGTCGATAGATACTTAAAGTAGTTCCAACGAACATGTAAAAGATATTAGCAGGAGGCCGGCGATAACTTGCTCAGGTGGTGATTTTAGTGGGTAAAGGGTAAAACTATTGGGAAAGGGAGAACCTGTACCGAATCTCTATAAGGGATTTCCACATATTAAAAAAATATCAAGAAGTTACTTCATCGAAAACTATTTTTTGGGCCAGTGTATCTAAAAATATGCACAATCGAAAACTAAAAAGAAAATAATTTGAAAATGGAATGAATTATTTTATCACATACAAAACAACAAAAGAAATCACATTGGAATAAAAAACAATAAGAAATCGTAGAATTTGAGGGTCGGCTTTGGCGCTGAACGTGTTAAATGTTTAGGATGTAATAAGATACTTAATTTAAAAATGTATCTATATACTTGCTGGATGTTATAAGAATGGCAGTTTTTCTGTAGAAATGGTATACTGTGACGTAACAACTGGATGTCACAAGATGCAAGGTTTTTCTGGATGTCACAAAGTGTTGTTAATAAAAATATATACCGTGTATACTTTGGATCTCACAACGATAGGACGTTTTATTTTTTTAAAATGTGTATGGTTGTGATATTTTTCGCTCAGCCATAATATTTTTTTAATTAAAAGAAGTCATATTTTTATTTTTTTCCTAAAGTCTTTGCAAAGGGTGGATGTCACAAAGGCAAAATTTTTGCTGGATGTCACATGATACGCTGGTCGAGTATATATATATATATATATATATATATATATATATATATATATATATATATATATATATATAAAAAATATATGACTATATTGAAAAAAATTAAATTAAATATTTAATATACTCATTATTATTTTTATAAGAACTGTCAATACTAAAACTTGTTGCTCTGTGGTCAATACACTCAAATTTTACAATTTTCTTTACCCACTAGTGCGTGGAGTAAAGTTTTAGGAACTCTGTAGCGTGCAAAATGATTACGTACATTTTTCGATATAATAAAGATGTAGCAAGAATTCAGTTTTTTGAGTTAGTTTTAGTATTACCTATAACAAAAAGAGAGCCAAACGCTGAACCATAATCAAAAAATATAAATTAAAATTGTAAATTGTTTAATTATTGATTATATGTTATCCGCCCTTTTGCTTTTCCTTTAATGAAATTTTGCCATATACACAATAAGTTCAGAAGAAAAATCTGACAATGTGTTTTTTTGGCTCTTTAAAGGACTTTAAAGGAATAATTTTTGACAGAAAGAACGGCTAAAATATAAGATTTTAAAATCCATTAAATTTCAAAAAAAAAAAAATGTTTAAGAAATAATGTAAAAATAAATGTAGATCTGCATAGCAAACAAAACAAAAAAAGCGAACAATATTCATTTAGTGCGTATTTCTTCGATATTTCAATTTATAATATAGACATGCCATCAAGGGTTGTACGGGTTTGAAAACTTCTTATTTTAAAATGGTTTGGCATGGCATATTATAAAACCTATTTTTCAAACGAAACAATCAGTATTTTAAAATGAGCTATTAGTATTACATTCAACCTCCTAATATATTTGAGTAATACTACAGAAATTATTTGGTGAAATTAGCAAATATTTTGAAATGATTTAAATTCTAGACTTAGAAGTTAACGAAATGGCAATAATAGAATGGAATAGAAGAGAGTGCCTTTTATTAGAAAGATTGAAAACAAATAAAATAGAATGGCTTTATTTGGTACGAATAAGACAATTCATTAGCTAGTAAGCTAGTAAGAATATGAAAATATATTTATAAGGGCACAGGTTCTCCGTACCCATATCTTCATTTTACACCCTATTCTTAAGTTTTTTCAGAAATGGACGTGAAGTCTATGGAAAAATAAGAAAAGTTTAGATAAAATTAAGTAATTGATCCCGAAAACATGCATTAAAATTATTAGATTATATCACGAACATAAAGAAAATAGTAAGAATAACAATAATTTAAAAAATTACTAAAATTTATCTCGTTTAAGTAATCTAATTTACATATTGAGATATTTTGGGTTATTCTCGCAAAGATACTCACTTTTATTATCGTCGTATACCCTTATTACTACTAGCACAATCTATTCCGTTATAAAACTTTTCACTTTTTAACTTTCTCAACTCCCTACGTGTGACTGGAGTCTCGTTGATAATATTTTAATTTTAATAAATTTTATTTTTAAGTTAGGATTGTTGTTTTTAGCGAATACTGTTTAAGAGATCGGTTTACCTTTTATGCTAATTGGTAGGATTAATGCATTTATTTATTTTACCAATTTAAATTTGTTTGCTGTAAAAATTTCCGTACCCTATACCACTTGTTCCATTAGAGTCGAACAGGTACTAAACATTTTTTTTATGTTTACCGTATTTTTTATTTTCAAAATTGCTACATTTACGATATACAAAGAAATAAATTTCAGTGCAGAAGCACTTAAACATAGATTAATTTAATTCTGACAAGGAATAGTAAAAACCGGAACTTATTTTCTCTTCCTAACGGAATATAAGCAAAAGTTTATTAATTGTGAATAGTCCACCTAGATATTATTAAATAAAATTCTTTAAATTAATCTAGTTGGCTTTATTACGTCAGTAATTTCTCGATAGCTTAGCTATAGTAATAGACCGTCAGATAGTGACTGATTTAGGTGCCCCATTTTCGCATACAAGCCTCGCAGAGGGTTGAAAAGTACATCGATTTTGGGTAGAATGAAAGGAAATTTACGAATGGCCCCTGGAGATAACATATGGAAAATTCGATTTTCCTTAACAGAAACAAAAGGTGTTTTTTGCTCATTTTTCCATGCAAGCCGTTTTCACTATATGATTAGTTAGTAGATCTAGGCTTCGGAAAACCAAAGGCTTTAATGGTGCAATTATCTAAAGGGTTGAAATAAGGGCGTAATCTTGTAAAGAAAAATCGATATATTGTAGCAGATTGATCTGTCGAGTAGGGGTGTTGGCTGAGTAACGCCAGATCACTCTGTATGTATGTTGTATTATGTTTAAAAAGGAATATGCGATGTTAGTTTTTAAATTTTTGTAACTTTTGACAAATAAAATAATATTGTCATAAAAAAAAGTAATTTAATTTTCCCTAAAGTAAATCCATGAAACCAATCTTCAAAAAAACTTCCAACAGTATCAACACTAGATTTAAATCTCTATCGTAAGATAATGTCATATAGTTTAGCCTGGTTAACTTGAGTTACAGTAATATTGGTAAAAATAAAACCTTATATCTGATGCAGCAGCAGTCTCCATATTTTTTGTAGCTCCACGAGCCCCAACACCAATTTTAATTTTTTTACTTTCCAATATAAAACATGGAAAAGAAATTGAAGGGAAGCTGCTTGTATTCGCTACCTAAACGAAATAAATTCTGTTTTTCACGAGGCTCTTGTATGATATATAAATCAAATTTAAATTAACTTTCAAAAAATAAACTTTTAGCTAACAAAAAGTAAAAAAAAAAATAGAAATATAATTTCTACTAAGATACTTTTTATAATGACATTAATAACTCACCGCTATTTGCTGCTAGACATGGGTAGTTCAAGATATGATGTTGAAATGAATTTGAAGAAAAGATTTGGTCATCGACTGCCAACCAGACACTTCCCGAAATTTTTCTTTCTTAGGAATATTGCGTGCGGCGATATTTAAATTTTAAATTATTCGAATACTATTTTTATACAGGATGCCACACATTCAAAATAGCATTTTTAAAAAGAATTTTAAAATGTTACAAAAGTAAACAAACAGAAAAATAACAGCCAATCCAAAAAAAAAAATAAGCTACAGACTACTTCTGCCAGGTTGATAAATATTAGTGGCGGATAAAATATATCGCTATGGGAATGCAAGGCTTTATTAACGGTTGGTCATAAAATAATTTTAAGTAAAAGATAAAAGATTTCATTTGTTTATTATTATTTTCTTTTATTACAACAAAATGAACAACCCTGAAAAATAACTTTCCTATTATTTACTTACTATTTTTTTAAACAGTAATCAAAATAGAACAAAATAAATCGTGGAAAGATTAATTGTATGGGTTATTTTATGAGAAATTAAATGTATTTAAAATAAATAATTAACAATAAAATTAAAATTTAAAAAACGATTGCTTCTATCGGGAATTAGACCCGCGTCGCGACATGCGGAGTTGATACCTTTAAACGCTCTATGAACTGAACCATCGGTTAATGTTACATACATTATCTAATCAAATATGTATATTGACTAGAAAAGACATAAAAATGATGTTATTAGGTACTTTAATAGTAGTTTGTGCAACAAGAGTGGATATGATGGCCATATCGCACAAGACGAAATTTGTGCACGACGCTGTAGGCGGAGTGCACAGTCGTCTGAGTGCGATGTGGACAATCCACTCGAGTTGTACAGTATATTTTTTCTACGATCCACTAACGAAAATTTACAAATAAAATATTTTAGGTTATTAAGATAAAATAACTAATTTTATAATAATTTATGACTTTTAATAATTTTTAAAATAATATAAACGAAAAAAAAAGTTAAATTAATTTTTCCCCATCCGAGAATCGAACTCCAATCCTCTGCATGGAAGAGAAGAACGCTAACCACAAGACCACCCACTCTTTTATTTTTGTTGCTTTAATACTCGTAATTAAATTGACTTCATATAGTTTTATTTAAATTAACCAATTATTTATAATTATAGACGAAATAAAAAGTAAATACTATTATTTATTGATTCTACACAAGAATAACCCATTATAATGTATGTTTAATCTCAATAACTAAAAAATATACTGACAATTAATTTGACAGAATTGTTACTTATTTAAAATTTTAAAAACAATAGCAGTCGGTTGATAAAAATATGAACAGTGCATTGGAGGATTTAATTTTTTTGCAGTGTTCTCACTACCTAGAATGGATATAAAATATATTAGTTCAGTAGAAGGCAATAGCATACTTTTTCGTTTTGTAATCTATGCGTAGATAAAATAATATCCATATGGGTATAGAAAAAATTATTTTAATAACTTGTTAAAAATACATATCTAGGATCTAGATATAAAAATCAATATTAACAATTTAATCATCAAATCGATTTAACATATATGACAGCTGATGTGCAAAGTAGATTCATATTCACCACGGGTGGAAAGTAGATTCTTATTCATTGTTGTGTGATATAGTGCACATTCCATAAGACTAAATAGTGCGATACATTTTCTAAGTGGTCGTAGGAAAAATTCTTAACATTGTTTTTTATACCTAGATCCTAGGTAATTAATTTTGCGGTTATATTTTTTATACATATTGGACTTTACTATAAAATATAATAAACTTTAAGAATGGTAGGTACTGTTAATTTGAATCCAACAGTTAATGTTCGAGTGGGGAATCTTACTTATGCATTAGAATTAATTTTTAATTAATCAAATTAATTAGATAAAATCGGATAAAGTTCTGACTCTAACCACTGAGCCACCCACTACTCAAAATTGTTTTATTTATAATTTTTTTCAAAAAGTCCACATATGAATGTGTATAGATAATATTGTTTCCTCCATCAGCAATTTATTTGTTACCTCTATGTAAATCTACTAAATGTATACATTTATACATCCTGAACAAACTACATCATTTATAAAAGTTGAACATAGGTGTTTATTTTTCAATAGTAATATGACCCAAATTACACGCTTATCTTTAATTTGGCCAAAAATTTGATTTTTAAATACTATATTTGGAAACAAGTATAGCTATTTAACTCTTAGTCTATATTGTGTACGCTTTTTATACAGTTATACCAACTCCATCTTAAATAATTAAAGGATTTGCTATTGTGCTATTCTATCATTAGCAGTATCATCTCCCATCTCCCCAGTAAACAAATAAATTCGACGATTAAAGTATCATCTTTATAACAGTAAATTAAGTAATTTATTGAATGCGAAGGTTAGGTTAAAATGGGGTTATTTTACACGATAACTTTCTGAAAAGGCAACAAAAAATTTTCTCGTCTGGTCGTCTATGCGAATGCGTGTGCCAGCACGATAACTTTAGAAAGAGACATCCGATTGACTTGCGGTTTTGATTTTCTTAAATAATTGCTTCTAACTTAGAACCCTACTGATTTTCAGAATTTTTGGGTCAATTTATCTAATTTAATATCAATGTTCTTAAAATCACATGTATTTCCTATGGGGCTTATTTTAAGCATTGATTTACGATTGCAATTTTTAGACACTTTGTAAGTTGGTGGCGGTCATATAAAAGTTGAATTAACTCAAATTAGAACGTCAAATTTTGGTTATAAAATAATTTGTAAAATGTTTTACTAAAAACTAAAAAAAAAATGGATTCCGAAAATGGAAATGAAATATCTTTAACTCCACCAAAAGTAAAATAAGCTGCTGAAATTGCGTCACGGAATGTATTGTCAGAAAACCAAGAAACAAAAAAAACAAAAACATGATTGTATGTGTGTATGTATTGTGCGTCCATAGTATGAATCAGAATCTGAATATGAAAAATCATTTATTTTAAAAAATCCAAACAAAAACAATATCGATAATCAGATGTAATGTTAGTCTAAATGTCTCGTCTCCGTCATATCTTAATTTTTCTATCGTCGTCAAAATAAATAATAATAATTTTTTTGTTTCTTCATCCATTGGTTACCAAGGTTCCAATAGGTAGGGGGCTAGTGCGTACGGCCATCGACTATGATCATAGTGTATACGATGTTATTATAACGTTGCTTTCTCACATTGACACTTGACATACCTCAAATAAAACTGACTAAGAAGCCTTAAAGTAAAATGACGTAGAAGTCAAAACCAAAGGTAAGATTATGTGGTACTATGATGTCGCCACAATGTGGTGGCGTATGAATTTCCCTTAAAAGTAAAAAAAAAACTATACACAAAATATAAATTCTAAACACTAACGGACCCATTATTCAGTGCTTAGAAGTCCAATATACATCAAGAAATAAATATAGAAAATTATATGAAACTACCAGCTTTATTAGGCAAAAAAGTGAAGCTTAATATTAAAAAAAAACTAGTCTATCTAAAGAAAATATTATTGATTTTCTTTCTAAAGCATCAGACGACAAATACCTTGCAGCAAAGGTAGGCT